CGCATAATCACTGTATAGTGGCTCAATACTTGGGCTAGGGTGGTTCGTTCAGTCCGCAAAAAAAATAAAAAGAAGCTTATGAGTTAATTCACATAAAATGTGATTCTAATCTCTTTTCAATATAAATTTATCGGATCTTATTCGTATACTTTATATATTCGTGCATTCTATGCATTAGCATAGGACCCAGTTTGTGACTCGTACAAGTGACAAAAGCTATTACATCGAAAAAGAGTGGAAAAGCGTTCCTCTTTGTTCGTTGGATCGTGTAACACCAAAAGTTGGGAAGAAATATCTATAAGCGAATTGTTAACTGAAATTCGAGAAGCTAGGTTAGCCAATAATGAGATATCCGATATCCCATCTAGATTTCTTAGACCAAACCCCTTTCACCAACACAACATTTCCCCGAAGCCATATTCCGACAACTCATATCCTCGACAACCTATTTCACCGACCACCCATATCCCCGACATGACATTTCATCGACATAATATTTCCCCAACGTAACATTTTCCTGAGTCTAGCTTGGTATACTAAGCAAAAATTATTAGAGGAAGACCTTTACATAGAATCTTAACTCTAATTATAACCCTAACCCTAACCTGTTAGTTCCATGCAAAGCCAACCAGTCAATGCATTATATCACAATATCCCATCGTGTTGGGGAAACGTCTTTGTCAGGGAAATCTCCATTCGGAGAAACATGATATTGGGGTAAATGGGTTCGGATAAATTAATATAACAACACGTTAGTCTAGAAATTCTGAGTTTACATTATTTAATTAACTTCGATATAAACACTTACCTGTATTATTGTTATTGCCTGTCAATTAAATTTAATTTCATGTCTGATTTATTGGAATAATAAAGTCTCTTCTTTTAATATATCGATATCAAATACACAAAAGCAGTTTAACACATTGATTCACACACACGAATGGAAATTCTGTAACACAAATGGAGGTTAAATTCTGTGATTTAATGAAATGATCTAAATTGATTTGTTTGTCGTGTTAGACAAAAACCCTTTATCGTTATTGTTTACAAAGAGACCTCCCTAAATGCATCATCTACGTCTAAGTGCACACCCTCTCTATGATCTGTTCCAAGCTAGGACCATAATGCCAAATGCACACTCTCTATATTCTGTATGTGCAATAAATTTCCCAGTTCCGTTATATTTGAATTCTCTCCATAAGTGCATGGAACATGATAAAAATCATGTGCATCCAATGAAAATTCAAGAGGTGCCACTTATTATCATTGATCGAAAGACTACATTTAATGGTTAACTAATAAAAATATACCTGGAAAATTTTACGCTGTTTGGTTCATGATATTATAGGAATAATTGTATATTGTTCTTTTGATACTATCACAGAACACCTTTTTATATACAATATTTTAGACACTAATAAGAGGGAATATTTTGTAAAAAAAAGAAAATCTAGAACATTACGATTATTATTGCGTGAGATAATATAGTGAAAAAATCATTGTTGTATCATGGGAATGAAGTTTGATAAAATAAACAATTCAATTACGTGGAACAAGTACATGTATTATTAGCATTAATTGTATGTAATGATAATGAGTAAAGATTAGAACCAGTTATCGGAATTGAATTTAATTTATAACTGGTTTCAAAATAATTAATCAGTTTTAATATAATCGGTTGGAAATGATTAATTAGTAAGGGTGTATATTTTGTATTTCAAAAAATGTCAGGACAGTAATATAACCAATTAATCGATGGAAACTGAATTAATATAACCAGTTTATCGTTTAAACCTGGTTTTTAATATACAACCAGTTTCAATCTCTAATTCAGAGCACTATCAGTGCGTATATTTGTGTGGAATCAGAATTGAAATATAATTAATTTTAACCTTGTACTCGAGTCACTTGATTAATTTACCTGCGTCAGAATTTGGTCCGAGTAGACTCGAACAAGAAGTTATACTTCGAGTAAGTGATCCGGATGACAATTTTTCCATCGGGTCCAATCCCTAGTTCTAGTGCTGAAAATGTAAAATATTCAATTCCATTTCCACTCCATATCGATAAAAATAGCTTCTTAATACTAATAAGTGAGGTTTTTGTTTGAATTATTGTTCCTCTTCATTGATAGAGTAGATAAAGTCATCAAGTTGTTCAACAATCGGTTTGCTCTCTGGAATAGGATCCCACCATTTTTTAATCATAATTTACACCATCCTTTAGATATTGCATGCAAATCAATGTTTGTTCATCTACAAAATCATCACAAACTACTTTTATTACTAGGGCTGTGGCCAAATCTGGTTTTCCAAAATTTTTTGCTGAAAATATGACTTAGACATAATTTTTTTAGCTGGAACTTAGTTCTTACTTTATCAAACAGTTAGGCAACCAGCCTCACTTACCACTTAATAATCCCACTAGTCACTTCTGTTATATCCACTTTATGCTTTCTACAGTCAAACTCGATATAATAATACGGTCGAGAACATAGTAAATATTTTGCAAATATCATTATATCGAGAATTTATTATAAAAATCATTATATCGAGTTGTGATTATACTTCGTTATATATCTTATCTCTATTTTAAAGAGCCGAATACACATTATTATCTGGAAAAAATATAATTCACCCTGAGCCGCCAAAGCTCACAACGTAAGTTAACGCAGAGCACTGTTTAGATACAATATCACCCCGGATATCTTATGTGGTAAAATACAGTAGATATTTGCATTGGACAGTTTGAATCATTTTGGAATAAGTTTGAGGATAGGATATCACAAGAGGCATAATTTCAACGGTACGTTTAACGTTAACGTTAAGGAAACAACAAAGTTAATATAGAATTTCTTTTGTTCTGTTACGGGTTAGGGCAAACTACGTCGATCCCATATTCTTGGCAGACATAATTCCATTTATTCTTCGCTTTGTTTTCTATCAACATCTCAATTTTGTTTTCCACCTTCATTTCGATTTTGTTTTCTATTTTCATTTCGCTTTTATCTTCGGTTCATTTTATTTTCTATCAATATCTCGTGTTTTTATTGTCCTTATTTCATTTTTTATCTTCATTCGCTTTTGCCATAATTATATTTTAATCATGATTATCATTTCACTTTTGTTTTCAATTCTTAATTTCTCTCTTAAATTCGCTCTTGAACAATCGTAAGGTAACAAAATAAGCTCTAGAAAAAATAAGTCAAAATATATATATAACAAAGGTCTACAGGCTTCAATAAAATTAATCTCCAACTAATATAAAACTTGTAAAAAACCATTGAGAATTCTTGCGTACAATAATTCCTCTTATGAAATTAAGATTTGTAAACCCCTTTTTGTGATGATTGATTGAATCGACGGATGATTAGGACCTTTGATCCAGAAAATTCATTGATATTGATATTGTTACGGAATATTGATTGATTTATTGATTGAAAAGCACTTTATTGATAAATAGTTTAAGGCTTCTAGCTAGAAAAAGGAAACGATTGGAAGTTAATTTTGAAGATAGGATAGATAGAAAACCCCCCATTGCATAACTTATACAACCCAAACCACCTTACCTAATTTTCCCTCCCGACTGATTATAATGAGTGATGTCCGTAGATATCAGCACAGGAATTAGTGACTAACGAACATAATTGAGTCTATTCACTGTCCCAAACCTATTGTTGCAGGTAAACTCGTCAATTTCGCCTAATTGCAATCTACTGTTACCGTCGACGGTCAAACTTCCCCGATTACGACTTTATGGAGAGAAAAACGACAGAGAAGATCGCCAACATCGGACGCATGTGTCAATAATGCTGCAGGTTTCCCAAACCGGCAGATTTTTCAGCAGCTAATTCCTATCACGATTATTAACAATGCTGCAGGTTTCCTAAACCGGTAAATTCTACAGCAAAATTCCCATCCCGTTATCAACAATGCTGCTGCTGTAGATTTTTCAGCAAAACAGCAGCAAATTCTCGTCATGAATGTCAATGATACGATTTGCGGATTTTCCAGCATGCCAATGTGCTGATAAAAACAACAAGCTTCCCTTTTTGGTGTGCAGCACGAAACTACGCCATTCACCGTGCCTTTAACATCATTTTTTTAGCGTCACCCCATCGTTTTTCAGCATCACCTCATCATTTTTCAGCATCTCCCCGTCAGTTTTTGATTCTTGCATCAGTTTCTTCCATAGATGGTAGAACATCCATTATAAACGTTTTTATCAATAGTCAAAGTAAATTTTTTTAAAAAAACAATAATAACAAATGTAATAATACAAAAAATGTATAAAAGAACGGCCTACTAATAAAGAACATAATAAAATTGTGTACAATTCTTCTCCATGCAAAATACAGCTTGAATCTTTGCGTACAACTATTCTTAAAAGTGAATTATTGCTTGTAAAACTCTTTCCCTTTTTCCCACGTTAATCGTGATATCGTATTACTTGTTGGTTAGGTCCTTTACACCAGAAAAGGTATTGTTTTCGTGTAGATTCACATTGTTAAATCGTATTATTATTGAGAAACTGTTTTTGCGTGATTGTTTTTAAGAGTTTAAGGCTTTTGTCTAGAAAAAGCGACGATTGTTATTAATGTTTTTAAGAGTTTAAGGCTTTTATCTTTAAAAAGCAACAATAGAGAAATCCCCCAACACTCACCTGAAACACATAATCTTTCCCCCAAATCAACATAATCAACGATATCCGTAGATATCGGCACAGGCTCTAGATACCGAAAGAAACAACTATTCAGTCTATTAATTTTTCCGATCGTATTGTTGCGGCATAAATCCCCAATTCGCCAAAACAGAACGAAGTCGCAACACTACCCACCCGCAACAGCTTAAATAAATTCGTGGCGATCATTTTAACTTTTACATGTACGTATGTGAGAAAACAAAAATCAAAGGCGTGAGAAAACTACATGTTGGAGAAAACAAAATCATTTTATTGCATCAGAATATTAATCTTTAGTAGCGACTTAAATATCCTTTAATATGCAAAACGAACTCGACGAAGAGGCAAGCAATCTTCCTGTTTAAACCTTTTAAGCTTACACAAAAAAATAATAATTATGGAACGAATCATCTACTCTAATATATACTTTGTAGTTTGAAGACCTTGGTGTGGACTCTTTTGATGAGGATGAAAATACGCTTACACTTGATGAGTTTTTTGAAATTACATTTGGATCTGATCCGCTGGATTTTGACTCCACTCAATTTGTTACAGAAGAATTAACAGTTGAAATGGTGAATAAATGCGTGGAACGCGCTCTCCAAATCTCTTCACACGGAATTTTGCGGGACCTGTTTCCTTATCTTATCGATATCCTTAGCCGCACAGTTTCCCTTCGCAAGT